TATCGTTGTTTTAGAGGACACAACAACATTTTTGAAATACATTCAGAAATGCAACATGATAATCAGAATGTATTGATTTGTTCCACCAAATATAACCTTATTATCTACAGTTTCTTCATCTTCAAAATCAGTGTAATAGTAACAGTTATTTACACCACAGAGGAACTAACTGACTAGAGGTTCAGCTGTTTAAGTGCTTTGAAGTAGTGTTTATTTGTTGCTTTTATTTTCAGTGAAAGCATTGAGGTCCCAGAAAAGATTCTGAAGCAGATCAAGAGATTTTCATTAGGAATTGCATAGCTGACTTCCAAAATACACAAAGAAGAATTACAAAGGAAGATTTAAACTCTATCTTTAGGTGTTTGCATTATGTTCAAAAGAGTTTAGCCCTGCTGTGCTTCTAGATGTTAAGTGCTAAAAGTATAGTCTTCAAGAATCTAACTTTTGCTGACTAACAGTTTGGAGAAACTATATTTATCAGTTAATAATATACTTATAAAGCATTTTCCTGTAATTTAAGAAAATAAAAAAAGAGAAACTGATTTTCTAAGAGTATATGCGCTGTCTTAATCTGCCACATGAAGTCAGAGTTCATGCCTGCCTGAGGTAGCAGTTATACTACAAAGAAGAGTGAAAAATCCCTCATATTTGAAAAGTTCCTTATTCAGAAGAATTATTCAGAATTATTTCTAAAAGATGTTTTCTTAACCTCTTAAGGACCTCCAGTAATGGGGACTCCATGTTTCTCACAACAATCTATTCCAACATTTTTTCAGCCTTACCTGAGGTGAAATCTATTCCTCACATCTAACACGAGTCATCTGTGCTATAATTACAAACCAAGATTTTTTTGTCCTTTCCACTAAAAACTCAAATTCCAACATCCTCAGAGTAAAGAGAAGCTCTTTTAGTCCATAACTCGAACAAAAATTCCATAAATCATAAAACATATGTGTAGCATCATTACTTGCTTCTTTGTAAATGTCATTCTCTGAACAACCACAGGAGAACATTAGTTTTTCTCTCTGCAACATCAAGTTACCCTGTCTGAAGATTTATTTCATACCTCCCTCTCTGTCTTCTCTTCTCTGTCTTGAGCTCTTCTTGAGCTCTCTTAGAGCTCTTCTAAAGCTCTGTTTCTTCTAACCTTTCCACAGAAGCCATGAAAAGCCTTTGGTCAAGACCATTTTTGTAGCATAGCACACAGAATTAGGTGGAATACAGCACTTTGCATGTTTTCCAGGGAACACTCATTCATATATAACATATAGCCCAGATGCTTGCCTCTCTATCAAAAGCCACCAAAAAGACAAGAGCTCTGATATGTAGCTCTGGCCTGAAGTTAAACTGACAAGGTAACAATGTGAGAAACTGCTGGACATGACACACAATGCACAGGAAAAAGTGGCTGGCCACCTCCAAGCTAGCACTGCTAATAAAACAATAACAGGATAAACTGGCAGGCAAAATATATGATAGGGAATTATCAGGAACTTCCATTAGTGAAGAATATCAGAGTATAAAGCATGTGGGTTGCTTATTTGGAAGGGACAAAATGGGAGAAAAGGTAAATCATGTAAGGTAAACCATGTGACTGGCACTTTTGAAGGGCACCTGCTCTGAGTTGGACTACCATAGCCTGATATAATAATAAACCCGCCGTTTCTCTGACAACCTCCTATGTATCTGTCTGGCTTCTGTGGTCAGTAGCACTACGATGTCCTTCCTAATGCTAGAAGGGTGACAGAGGATGGACTGAATTGCCCAACAGAGTTTATGTCCCCAGTCAGTATTTTGTTGGAAGAATGAGTTGTTCCCACAGCATCTCACAAATATATTTTGATTATTTTTACATATGTGCTGTACCATTAAGTGGCTTCAAACCTGTTTTTCAGACTCACCCTTCAATACACCAAGATCATTCTTATGTCTAATGCTATCTTTTACAGCTTCACGTCTACAAAAATTAGTATAGATACTTTTGCTAATGCATCATAAGGAAAACATTAAGTGAGTTGGATCCAGGAGAGACCTTTTCAGAACTCCATCAATATATCATTTAATTTTAAAAGTGAATCATTTAAATATTCATGGATTATCCAGCAAAGTTGTACCAGGAAATCTGGGTAAAATTTCTTTACCAATATCCTCATGTCAAGAGGTGTCAAAAGCTTTACTGAAGTCAAGATAAATCAGTAACTGCTTCTCACCCATCCACAAAATGGGTTATCCTACCACTGAAGGAAATTAGATTAGATATTCACTACTTATTCTTGACAAGTCCTTCATAGCTGCCACTCATCTGCTTATTATCTTCCAGCTGTATACAAATGTTCTGCTTATTTATTTCAGATTTCTCTCTAGAGTTTGAAGTTAATTGACTAGTCTTTAATTCTCCAGTTTCTCTTCCTTTCAATGACAGCCGCTATTTACTCTTTCCTAGTCTTTTGATCTGTCAGCTGGCAGTTATAAATCCTCTGAGGTATCTCAATAACAGCTCTGAGATTACTTTGACTATTTTTTCATGCCACAGGGCCTAAGTACCACCAAAACATTCTTTCATTTTATTATCTGAGAGCTTTTCATATTTTGCTAGTATTACCTGCAATAACCATCTGTTGCAGTTGACCTCTTCAGTGAAGGTTGGTCTCTGATAAACTGAGTAAAGGCAAATATTTTCCTTTGTCATCTCTTGCTAGTAGTGAACTTACAGGATAATTTTTTGTTACCTATATATCTCTTGCTCTTTGTATCTTAATTTTTGTCCTAGCCTTTCAAATACATGCTCTTCTTTTATAATCTTTGTATCTAGAATTTAATTTCTGCATGTTTTGCTCTGGAGGTCAGTGATTTAGGCAAGCAAGTCTCTTTTCTGAAGACATATGTTGAAAACAAACAAAGAATTATTTAAATCCCAGCTAATTCAATTAGTATATTACTGTGCCCTTTGTAGGCCTTGACTCAGGTTGCAAAGGCCAGTAAACAGTTCTGGAATAGCACTGTCAACAGATTCCAAATCATGTCATGGATTGGTGATACTGTAGGTGAAACACAAATGTAAATTTTGGTGCAACACAGTAAAAGTTTCCTAACTGAAGAGCTGCAGATGACAATACATGCACCATACACAAGTCTATGAAAAGGCACAACTAAAAGCAAAGCTCCAAATTCATCAAATTTCCCTCATGCTCTAAATCGTTGACTGTTACACATACAGGAATCCTATATTGTAGCTGTATTGAACCACTACAAAAGAGTAAAGAGAGCATAAATATACAAACAAGGACAAGGAGAGACTTCACCTTTTCCTCCAACTGCAAAATATCAAAACAAAAAAGGAAAGAGACTTTGTAGGAACAACTGAAAATCTGTTTTATAGCATATCAAGTAAAATTATACATAGTATTGATTAATAGGTGATAAACATTTTTCTTAATACTGAGAAGAAAAGGTATTGTTTAATGGGGGATTAGAAACGCTCGTACAGTCTTAAAAAAAATCAACTCTTGCTCAGTACAGAAAGAATCACCTAATTTATAGTTTTATATAAAATAACCAGCAATCCAGTGGTGCGTATCTTACGAAAACTGAATCACAAATCTAACTGCTTACTGATAACAAAATTAAACGCTTTCATGTCTCTAGAGCACTGTAACAAATTATACCAATTATAATCAAAAGTTACAATTCTCGGACAACGGCAGCTGTAAATATCCTTCGTACTCAATAAAATAACATGCAATCTAGTTCAATCTCCCTGTCTCCTTGCAGAGCACCAATCCGCTCTAGAAGAACCCCATGTCCAAGTGCCTCATGCTTCCAGTCATGTCTGAGGTCTGCACAGGCTACATATAATGCCAGGGCTTCAGCAGTGGTACTTACTTGCATATACCTCTCAAAGTCTCTGTCCTTAGCAGAGACTAACTAGCATGACATGGTCTGAGATAATCAAAAAAACTCCCAATAACAAGCTACAGATTTAAGCACTGGCAAAAAATGAATACCCAATAGCTCAAATGCCTCATAGTTTAAATGCCTGCTTTGGAGGGAGAAGAGACATTAGTAGTATGAATGTAGGCAGACCATTCTGATTAGCTTGACAAACTGGTACTGTTTAATTTAACATTATCACTATGAATGTAATTACATCTGTTACTACCACTACCTCTGCCAGTATCTCTTCCTAATTTTGGATCTTATATGCAGGGCAAAGTGCAAACTCTTTGTTTAATGTCTTCTTTGGGCAATGAGGTCCAGAAATACAACTGTTTTAGACTTGAGAATCTTTAGTCCCATTTCCTCATTCTACAGTTTCCTTGGCTACAAGCCTGTAGAATTCATCTTTTTCTGGATTTCCAGAAAAATATTTCCAGTTAAACTAATCAAGGACAACATGAAAGGAAAGTAAGAAACCCTCGTTAGCAAACTAATTTTGTATTTGTTCATGCCAAATCCCTGTACGTCATATACCTATGAAAACCAGAATTTGAATGGAACCTGTCCCGATGTGATCTCACTTTGTTTTGAAAGATTAGTTTGGATTCTGAAGGGAATGATAAAAACACAAACTTTACTTAAGGAAGTTCCTCAAATTACCCCTAGTCTCTCAAGCTTATATTTTTCTCTTTCTTATAAAGCAGGTTTATTACCTACAGCAATTCAAGTTTGTGCACAAATTATGTAAGTGTCATTAGGCTTGCCTTAAATTTGCTATCCCAGAAATTAACATCCTAAATGCATATGGTGTTCCTTTCATATTCTGAAGGATTCCACTCATTATTGTTGATTAATGAGAATCTGCTGTATTAACTATGACATTTCAGATTTAAAACAGATTTTTCAAATGTGGTTTTAAAATTTAAAAACTGTTTAAGCACCTGTACATGAGCTCTACAAATTTTGCAACTTAAAACAATGACAACAATTGACAAAATTAAGAATTTTGTTCTGGCAATGATTAATAATAAAATTAAATTTGGGTAATAAAATTAATGTCTTACCTGATCTGAGGGAGAACAGCATTTATTTGCCATTTTCATCTAGAGAAAAGAGATGGAAGAATACTCAGTATTAATTTTCTCATACTAAGAGTTACTATGAGGCAATTAGTACTGACATGGTTAATGTATACTGGTATTAGTACTTCAAAATGATACTTATAAGAAATTATATATTTTCAGTGCAGAAATACTAGAGTATAATTATACTAAGCCTGGAAAACAAAGGACTCAAAAGGAAACCTGTCATCAGAGTTTTCAGGAAATCCTTCATAAAGAATTGGATTTATGAATTCTACTTTGCTACTGTGGAAATATTATTCTGAACTGTAGGTATCATCTCATTTAGATCTCAGTTAACAATTGTGTAAGTGGATCTGTAAATTAGGCATATGCTCAAGTCCTTTGTGAAATGAAGGATAGAGCATATAAGACTGATGAAGGAAATTTTGTTTATGATTTCCTTTTGTTCAGTATAAAGTTACAAATCTTTTTTGCTCACTGTTTAGTCAATGAAGAGATGCACTGATTTTGGCTTTTCTTTGACAGTCATAATTAGCATAGATGACTGCTGAACACATCCCTATGAAGCCTTCTTTAAAGTGAAACACTTTTTAAAGTGAAATATCAACATCAATGAACTAAAGATATGGGATTTAGACATGAAAAGATTGAATGGCTATAAGGAAAGGTTCCCCTATGTGTAGGAATAGAACCTGCAAACACAGATGATGAGTCCTTTCAAACAATTTTATGATCACAAAGTGACAAAGCGCTTTCCCTCATTTTACTTAAAAAAAAAAAAAAAGCTATAACCAATATCTCACCAAGAACACGATATTAGCAAGATGAAATCTGTGGGTAATCTGCTCAAAGCCAGGGCACGACAGCTAGAGGCCAAAAGGCCTTGTATTATGCTAACCACACATGTCGGCCTTAGGTCTTGTTGGGCTTTATCTGGACCTGTGTGGGATGCTGCAGCCTGTTTGGCCATTACTGTTATCTGAAGAGTGTGAGACTCATTTATGTATTTATCAGGAAAATGCATTTGTGGAGTATAATATTACATATATACATATGTATATATTTTCAATTATTTGATACCAGTAACAAGTACTTATTCTGAATAGAATCACCCTAAACAAAATGACCCCAGGATAATATGCAATGTAGAGGAATATAGGATGATATCAAGGGTCTTGAATGTAAACATGGAGGATGATACAAAGGCCCCAGGGCTATAAGAAATTGTCACTCATCCCTAACCCTTAGTGGGTCGTAGGAATTTGTTCCTCTCGCTCATTTTTGCATTTTGAACTGAATTGTGTATCTGAATGGTGCAGGTGTGCCAAATGATGTTTCGGGTGATGAGGTGGCCAAGCTGACATGCTGGGAGCTGGTGCAGCTGCCAAGCCTGCCTTCCACTCTGGTGAGGCACCTGATTATGCACAGAGAAGGTTCTCTAGCCCCATGGACGGGCCATGCCACCCCAGAGGAGTGGGACCACGGCAACAGAGGTGTCACAGCTCTGCAGGCATAGACACCTGCATTGTAGCTCAAGCAAACACCAAAGATGAACGTTCCTGACATGCAGCTTCCAAACAAAGCGGGAGCACTCAGTAAATCTTCTTTTGGGTCTCCCACAGTTTTTCTTGCAGTTGGACAACGTCAGCACTGGCCTGGAACATATGCAGCGAAATCCCTGGGAATGGGCAGAAGTTGTTGGCACTCTCAGGGTCTTGACAGTAACAAACTGGTGGGATCACAATTAATCTTGTCTGTAACTTGCATACTACAAATTGGTGACAAGACCAGCATTATAGAGGGAAGCAATCCTCGCCTGTCTGATTTAGGGGATTGGTTTTGTACATTTGCAAAAACGTAACAAAAAGGCATCTTAAATACTTTAGCATCACCACGAATACCATTATGCCCTGCCAGTCTTCAGCTCCAGCCATCCTCCAATGCTTCAGAGAAAAATATACACAAGAAGTAACTACTCAGAAACCAAGTCATGTTCACAGAAAATACTATTTCCTTAGACACATAGACACACCAAGTCATAAGATCATTAGAATATAACACAGTGCAAATAAACAGAAAGAGCACTGATCCTGTCTCCTTTCATCTTGTTTTCCAGTTAAATCAAATTATTTTAACCTCTCTTTTTAAAAGGAAGAAATCTTGTTAACCAACTTTTTACCTTACAATGTTCAGATGTGCCTGTGAGAATGTGTGAGACTGGCCATGCAGATTCTCTGGAGAATGAAAGAAGAGCAGTATGAAGAGCATCCTCATGGACAGCATTGCTTCCAGTTAGTAAGCGCAATAGGAAGAATGCTTTGAATTCTATAGCTATTCACTGCCTTAGCGGCACAGCTCATTCTCTGTTTAAAGCAGGGATGGTTGCAGCCCTGATGTATGTGGGGGAACAGAAAGATCTTCTATTTCACATTGTGCCCCTATGTCACTGGCCTGAGGAGAGGGAAGTATGCACTCTCCATATTGAACAATGCCATATGTTCCCTATGACCCTCCACAGGCAAGTGCTTTGTGGCAAGAATACAAATGGAATTTGCTGCACCTTGTTGTAATACATGAGTTTTCAGCATTGCAGTGCAGTGATGGGTGTCTGGGACATCAGGAGAGCTAAAACCAAAAATCTGTACCTGCAGAGTGCAGTGGCTGAGTCAGACAACTCCAACTGTTAAACAACCGTGATTACTGTATTGCGTTTTAGATGAATGTATAGGTATCTGCAGGGGGCAAGAAGAGAATGGGGCTTTCATGACTCAGAACTGTATATTTAAACCTAAGTGACTCCCAAGATGGGATTTACCTTACTTAACTTTGACAAATCAAGGAAGAAAAGAAAAGAGAAATTACATGTCTAATTTATCAGTACTACCTTTCTAATTAGCAGAGACATACGAGGATGTAGACAGCTGTCTATTTCTCTTTTGGTACAGTAAGAGGATTATATTTGATTGGCTAAATTTAGTTGACATGATTCCTACCCTTATTGACTACCCTTTAAAATCTCTGAGGTTTGATTTGAGATACTTTCAAAAGGGAATGCCTGAGTTTAAAAACAAAAAGAAGCAGCAGAAAAAAATATATGATCTTGTGGTACTATCCCCTAGACAGTAATAGAATGGTTTGTATAATCATAGATTTGTATATTGCTTCCTACAGGCTATGGACACACAACAGATTTTGTTTTGATCTATATGCACCTCACATATTGGCTCAGAAAGAAAGAAAGACTTACTCCTCTTTTTTATATGAATGTTCAAAGCTCCTTTTTCATCAGTTTTTCCCTACTCAAACTGAAATTTCATTCCACTCTTTTAGATACACATGTACATGTAAACATAAAATAAAATGTTTAAGCCCTAGAACAGGTGGAAATTATATCAGTTGTCAAAAGAATATATATGATTTAGGATGAATACACTTGTTTCCAACCCAAATTTTATGTTTCTATCATCCTTCCATGAACTGTGAGAATGATTTCAAAAGATCATAAATAATGGTTAAAGTGGTACAACTGTATATTTTTATCCTTTATCTGTTTATGAACTACTCATTTATTAAATTTGTTATTAAATGTGAAAAATACAGCACCTTCAGAACACACTGTAAAAAAAGAGAAAATGTTGAGAGGGCTATAAATTTAAGAAATAAGTTTCTATGATGCAAATGAACTGGCAACATCTACTTTAGATGTTTCTACCTATCACGTCTATTGGTGTTACTTGTGAAAGAAAATAATTAAAGCCCATGACACAAGCTAAAACAGTGGCACAACAGAGGAGGAATTCTAAATTATTCCAAAGTGTCTCCTAAAAACATCTCCTGCACAGCTCTGTCATTTTCCCTGCAAAGAACCCTGTAACTACACATATCAAACAGCAGCAGGGAGAAGCATATGCAGATCGAGTTGCTGTCTATGCTTTTTGATTCATTATGGCAGCTTCACTGCCAGTTTCTGTTCCTTTTCTTCCCTCAGTTGTCTTTAACACTGTGAGAAAAAGGCTATAAGAAGAAATAGATGGAAGGTGCTTACTTATCTCTCTCCATTTGCTTTCTCCTCCAAAAGGTAAATATGATCTTGGAGCACACTGAGGAAACTGAGGATTGAATCATAAAGGAAGGGGATAGAGAAGTTTTTCTTGGTAGGAAAGTATGAGAAAAACACGACTACAGACAGAATGGTGAATAATAGAGGACATGGATCTTTAGAAAAAAAATCTGCAAAGCTTGTGAAGATAACAGTTACTGGGAGTATCAGGAAGGCAAGCTGAGAAGAAACTCTTACATCTTTCTCCATGTCACCATATTCCCTGTGCTTCTCTGTCTTATAAGAACTAACTGTCTTCAGGCTAATACCAGAATCATTACTTCACATCTACAGAGTAACACTTTCTAGCTATGCTAACAGTCAGGGGTAGTATCCTTAGGCAGTGACGACTCCTCACATCTTGACTATCGAAAGACAACTCCTCCTTTTCCCTTGGTCCCCTGAGAGCCTGCCTCTGCATAGAAGTTACATGTTTCACTACTTCAAAAGAGAAGTCTGACATTAGCAGAAGTGTCAGATTGTAGCAGAGCTATTTTTGTATTCCCTACATTAAGATTGTCTTCTGGCATCAGCAGGGGATCTGGCAGAGAGCTGCCAACTGCCAAAAGGGGAAAATGGCAAAGGATTTTGCTGCAGGAAAGATAGGGTGCACTGTAAAAGAACAATTCCCCTCCACCAGGAGCTCTTTAAGAACTGAAAATCAAAAAGAAAGTATCCAGATGCAAACATGTATGATGAAGAATATATACAGAAGAGGCAGAGACAGGGCAGGTAAAGTAAGAATGACTATGGTGAAATTGCTAAAACCAAGAGGCACAAGCACAAGTATAGAGAAATAAAAGTGAACAATGGAGAGTATGGCATAAATACTTAATAATGGTCAGGTGAAAAGGCTGACATTCTTGATTCTGGTAGTTTTAGTAAAAGGTCCACTGTGATCACCTATCCAGCAGTATTCATTTATCTACAAAAGTAACAACATAGGGCAGAATGAAAACAGTGCATGCATGAAGTCATGAAATTAACCTTTGAGAAGTTCAGAAATTATCTGAGCCTGAATCCTATCTTTAACTCTAATCTCTGAATTCTAATTATCTTCAGGGACTCCTGGAGTATGGCTGAAATTTTACAGGACTAAAGAAGGGCAAACACAGGAAAAAGTCAGAGGAATTACAGATACATAGCCTAACTTCAACTTCAGTAAGATGATCAAAGAAAAATGCTTAACATTTATGAGATGACAATAGTGTAATAAAAAGCATTCTGAATAGATTTTCAAGAATTTGAAGGTAAAGGCTTTGTCCCAGGCAATCTGTATATGAATAGTCCCTCAGCCCCAACGGAGTCAAGGAATATTCTTTTACTGCAAACTTCTACTGAAATTCCAGCCTCACATTCCTGATCTTAAAAAAAGGGTTTGCTATAAAATGGTTTCTCATTGACTTACATCTTACATCTGTTGTTCTGATGATTGGTAATTAGCTTAACTAGTATTACGGCCAAATCTGCTCAGTTGTTCCAAAGGTCGCACATCTGTAATAGCTTGCTAAGCACCAAATTCAAGTGAAAATTTTACTCACACTCACTATGATTTCTAAAGAGACTACTCTCTACCTGGTCTAGAACAGTATTTATCACTGCTGCTAACCAAGCAGTTTATCACTCCCGTTTGGTCTCCCCCTCCTAAAAAGGAAGGCACAAGATGCAGTATTTTGTTTACAGAATTCTAAATTGTGATTGCTAACTGAAAAACAGATCGGTAGAAGCACTCAGTAGACAACAAAACATTCTCGCAGAAATTTCACAACACAGTGAGGTTATTACGTCAAGACACATACTACCACACATATTGTGTTGCAGAGAAACAGACCAGCATCCTACCACTATTAAAACTAATTAATAAATTCCCTTCTTGAATTTATAACAATTTGTTGTTGTATTCAGCTACATAACTGGAGTGGCTTTAAAGCAGAAGTCTTTTAGAAAGCAAAAGAATTATGATCAGGAACTGGGAAGTGGAATTGCTCTAAAAGTATTATATTCAACTTATTTCCACTATTCACACAGCAGGCAATTATGAACATGCTTGAATAATGCATATTATTTTCCCGGAATTATCAAATAGGAACACTAACCTCTAAATAAGATAACTTACTAAACAGTGCCAGAAGGGATTATTCATAAAGAATACATCACAAACAAATACACTGATCTTTGTCAAAGACTCTCTAAATAATTTCAGATTAAAAAGAATTAATTGAATATAAAAACTATTGTGAACAAATATATGATCATAAGTAACTTATGAAGACCAAAAAGGTCAAATTATTTCCTAGTTTGATCAAAGATTGATCAAACCTGATATAAATTCTAAATAATATAATCTGAATAACTAAATATCAATTAGCTTGTAGTACAAATTAAATATATGTATCCTACCAGATCCTAGTTTATAGAAGATATTTCAGTCTTAACATATCTAAAGAAAAATATTAGAAATATTTGCAGCTAATTCTCCCAGGGCAAACTGTGCTTCTATTTTTTTCATCATTGATTTCTCCCAGCTCATAAAGAGTGTTGCATATTTTCAATAGTGTACATTATCAAGTTGCCTATTCGATACGTTGACTTTATGTTTCATTGCAGAATCTTTAATGGCTTTCTAGTTGTTCTTTCTTGGAATAATACCCTGTTGTCTGCTTAATGATTTTTCTGTTTCTCAAGAGTTTATTTAGTACCTCTATTTTCAATAACAAATTCTACTTTTGAATTTACAGGAATAATTTACACTGGCATAAGCACCATTATACTTGCAGGAAAAAGATGGAAAACATGACTTTAAATAAGCCAATTCCTAGACAAAATAGACAGGTAAAATTATTACCTCTCAATGAGCCCCTATAAGTTATACTTCACTAGTTACAAAATTTCCTCATGCTTACCTCAAAATCAACACATTTCTAATTTCTAAAAACATGTTTTCAGCACATTAATTTAGTAAATGTAGAAGTGATATGATTGGCCCTATCCAAAGCTCCATGAAATGACTAGAAAAGGTCAATATTTTGCCTTAAAGGAATCTTTAAACGATAAAGACAACTTGAACTTGTACTGCTCTCTGCTTTATTTTTACTGCAAGTCTTGAAAACTTCAGGACAGTTTTGAATTACAAGAAACCCTGTCTCTTCTCTTCACTTCTCTCTTTTCTCCCAAAACACATACATTTGCTTTAGATCTTGTATCTTAAATGTGAAATATTTTCTGCCCGTGGACAATTAGAAATAATTTTAAGATAGTATAGACAAAAAATATGCAGAAAGTAACATACATTTTGAAGTGTCAAATCACTGATGTTAGTTGATATTGCTCTCAGCCAGTCAGCACTCTCCTGGGCTGTATATAACTGAAGTATCCCAGTACTAACTCCATCGAGTGCCAGCACTTCAAATGCATTAGATCTGCAGTAAGAAGAAATATGTCCATAAAGGAAGATATGTCAGTTTTCTGAAACTGTCCAGTATTTTTCAGGGTTCAAGTGATCTTTACAGCCTTTGATAAGTTTGAGTTTTAACTTTACAATGCAAGCGAAAGGAAACAGACAAAAAAAAAAAAAAAAAAAAAAGATAATAATGGAGAGCATCAGGAGTAGTACATACAATAAATACTTTCTCTGTAGAAGTATCCATATGCCCTGATCATTTACTTGCTAGGATATATGTTTATAACTACTGAACTTATTGTAGCATACTGAGGACATATGCAATGGATTTTTTTCTGAAGAAATATAACGAACCTTGAAAACAAAATGACTTTTTTTTTTCTGCATTTCTTGCATTTTGGTTTCATTTACTAAGAATGTATAAATTGCAAAGAATTGACTTCCCTAGTTTTAATTTCTTGCATGCCTATAATTTTCTATAAAAAATTCTAAGCAATGCTTCCTTTAAGCTCCTTTATGGCATAGAAAATTTAGAAAATGTACTTAAACTTTTCTTTAAAGCATTTTTCAGTGTAAGGCCCTTTTTTCATAATAGCATGCTAATTTCTACCTGCATTTATTCACTTTTTATTCATCTTTTATATAAAAACTTTAATTTGCAAATGCCAGTGCTTTCCTCACTTACTACTTGCTACTGCAAGTTAGGCACCATCCATGTACCTCTGAAATCATGCACATTTGGTGTTGGAATGGATTATCCGTTATCCATTTTTAATTATAGGATTTCTTTCCTTGGTAGGAACAACAAAAAAATAAGTAGCGGCATGGAAGTGCACTAATTTGGATATCTTTAAAATACGTGATGAAATATTTTCAGCAATAAAACTGCAGAAAGCACAAATATTAGTATAAAAAACAATTGTAAATAGTTGAAAAATTGTGTATATATTTCTTTTATATATCATTTGGAAAATACTGCTGCTACCTCCTATATTGTAGAACTGATCATTTATATTTAAATGTTAATATTGGTTTCTTTTCAGAAGTAACCTAGAGGAAAATAAAATATTGACTCAAGAATAGTGCTCTGTGAAGCTGCAGGGTTTCTAAGGTCAAGTCCAGCAATGCCTAGTTTATGATATATGTCATAATGAGTGTTCAAAGCGACACAAAGTGAGGTTACAAGTCGTGACTTGATTAAAAAATGATTAACCTAACATTTCATTCATAGGGAGTTTGATGATAGTGCACATGAAGATATAAATCTAAATACTTGGTAGAAATAGTATTATAAAATTTTCATTAAACACAATATTCACAAAACAATATCCATATATATCTATATACATATATACATACACACATATATCCCTCTGAGATAGGAAAGTTCTGTTATCATCTATGCAGACAGTAGAGCATGGAAAGAGATTGAATCTGATACGATGGAGGTAAGCCTATTTATGCCTACCTTAGACATCAAATTTATATTTCAAAGTTAAGATACATTTAACTGAAGCAGGAAGTAGTAAATGCTCTCAACTACATCCACAGAATGTCTAGGATTCTAACTTACCCGAAGCAGATGAATGAATGAATGCAATGTGAATGTCCTATTCAAGTGGCACAAAGTTATTCAAGTGGCTGATGAAAGATCACAGAAATAAACTCTTACACTAACAACAAATGCACTAGGCATTCAAGATAAATGGAACCAATTTTATTACAAAAGTGAACTAATCTTCTGTAGTTTGAAAGCATGATGTTGCAGTACTTCAGATGACACTATAAACTCTAGTTGCCACATCCTTTGCTTTGCTAAATTACTGGTGATCAGATATAAAAGCCAGCTGACAGATTCAAACAAATGTGTCTAGAGTCTGAATGCTTCAATTACAGGGTTTTTTCACAGAATCATAGAATCACAGGGTGTGAAGCATCCTGAAGATCCTCTAGTCCCACTTCTTGGCTAATATGTTTACATTACAAATCTACTTCCCATAAGAGGATCAAAACTGGACACAGTATTCTAAACGCGTGCATTTGAGAGTGTCCTCACAAATACAGAGAAGAATAATCCCTTTCTTTATTCTGCACACCATTTTATTAGCAATGCAGCTAATAGTCTTCAGCACTGAAAGTGCTTACAGCTGACCCATATTCAATGTGCTGTCCATTAGGATACCCAAGACCTTCTACAGAGCTGTTCCCTAGCCAGTATAGTTGCATGGTCTTATTCTGACCAGGTGCAGGACTTTGCATTTGTCTTTGCTAAACTTCAGGAGAGTCCTGTTGTCTCATTCTTTACCTTTTTGAGGTCCCTCTTGATGGCAATTTAACCTTCAAGAACGTCTATTGCTCCTCTTAATTTGATGCCATCAATGGACTCGATAGGGTGTACTCTTTCCAACTAAGCAGATTAACAATGAAGATATTATACATTACTGGACTCCCTACATACACCTGAGGAATAATGCTTGTAAAGAGTCACCAGATAAACTCAGCACCATCAGCCACTGTCCTCTGAGCTGAACAGTCTAGCCAGAATTTCATCCAACATGTAGTCCACTCATCTAGTCCATTCTCCCCAATTTGGCTACAATACTCCACAGGAGACTGCATAAAGTCTTGAAAAGGTCAAGGTAAGTGACATCCACTGCTCTCCCTTTATCTATAGAGAAATGTAAATGCAATCTACATTGCATCATATGAAGCAACATGGGTGGAGAGGTGTAGTCTTGTCCCCCTAGAGTGTCTGTGAAAAACCTGCCAATCTCCTGTTCATCCTCTGTGGTGCTATGCAGCAGCTCATCTCCTTCAACTCCTCTCCAACTGATAGCTCAACCACTCCTCCACTGACTCTATTCCTGGTCTCCAAGGAATACTCTCCTGCAGCCTGTGACAAGGATGGCTGCCTATTTCCTCAGGAACTCTGTCTGGTCCAAGGCCTCCAATGTGCCACAGATGGCCACATGGCCCGGTGTGGGGGACAGGCATTTGCAGTGCACCACCATCCCCACCACCACTTTACTGAATTTAGCAGGAAGCTGGTTTTGCCAGAAAGTAGTCCCCTTTGAAGCAAGTGATTGAAACAGAAAAAGAACAAGCAAAGTTTATGGATGCCAGTCAGTTAGTCTATGCTGGTCAGATAGTGGTTTTGCTCTCAAAATACTTATGATTATTTTTTGACTTTAATTACGGTATTATCCCTCTGCAAATCACATAATATTTTGTTCCAATAGCCCCTTTTGTCTGAAAAGTATAATATATATATGGCAAAACTTAAAAACAAATATTCAAATTAAAAAGCAAAGCTAAATAATAAACTATTAAATACTGATTTTTTTTTTCTTTTCATGTGAAGTAATCAATAAATAATGCAAGAACAAAGACAGCATTGAAATTCAGGAGAAAATAAAACCTGGAGGCTTAAGTCCTATGCCTTTCTTCATTTCTTCAAAGCATTGGGGAGATAGGAGAACACCAGAATTCCTTTTAGCTGAGTTTTCTATTTTATACTGAAAAACAGTTTTGTGTGATCTCAAGATGTTATGTAGTCATGTCCATTGAAAGATACAGCTAGAGGAAATCCCCATCTCTTCTGCTTTTCCCGTTACTGTACTGATTATTGCAAATAGAACCAGGAATGAATGAATTACAGTTCTTAAAGCCTGGTGATATCCGACAGCAATGAATACTGACTGAAACTTACAACATGTACACAACTATACAGAAGGTAAACATGCTTCCAAGCTTTCTGAAACTCTTTAAATGCCCCTGCATCCAAAAAAAATGAAAAGCCCTCACCCCTAAAAAAATCATTTATTAATCATGTATCATCATTTCAAATACATATAGGATGACACTATCAAGAATTTTACAAAACTATTTTAGGTAACTACCTCATGAAAGCTCATGAAAATCATCTCTAAATCCAGTAAAGGTCAAAGTCCTTCCAAATATAGAAGGCTCTGCTTCAATAGATGCATCAATTTTATGGCATTTTTCCTACTTTGATATGACTGGAAGTATTCTTCATCACAAAGCAGTAATCGCTGAATGTATCATGTATAAAAAGCCTTACTGAAGAATGTATCATTTAAACTCCTAGGCTGAGAAAATTGAAGGCCTTTTTTTATTATTTTGAAAGCCTGGATCTGCATGATTTCTCCAATGCAGCTTGTTCAAAGGCAGCACCATCGTGGCTGTGAAGTGACAACCATCTGGAGCCAGAAATCATTCTCCAACACTTAATGTATCTTCTTTCTTCTTCATGTGTGGCAGATGGATAGCAAACATTATTTGTTAGGTATGTCTTTCACATGTTAAGTGTAAGAGATTGATTTTGCTGATATGTCACTTCTATAGCAAAAAGTACAAACACTACAGATGCAGAAAGAATTCTGATGAAAATAGTCTCCTTTTAGTATTTCATATTATATTGTTAGTTTCTACAGCTTTCTCTTACTCTACAAGTATGTAGCAGGATGATTACTGAATCTGACCATACTATCTTTAACTGGATATTGTGTGAAGGTATAAGAACTTTAGAATGTTTGCTTTCCCTAAACTTCAGGCATTTGGACCACATTACCCTATATATCTTTGGTATTATTTTCAGCCTTTTACCTGTAACTTTTTGGTTGTCTCCTATAAGCATAACCACGCAGGAGCACATGACACTGTTTTCTATACTTTGTCTATTTATATCTCATTTTCATGGTGAAATGATAGATGAATATGCATCCTAGTCTGTTTTGGGGTTTGTAATTGCATTAATTTGGTTTAATCTAGTAATACTCTTTTAGTGAGAATGACAGTCAGAGTACTACATAGGCATTGACAGACTTAAACTTGCTTTCAGACTTTGATGGTTCTTAGCAATTAATAACAACTAATACTAATAAAATGGGCCCTGTGAGTTTTGCCACGTGGAAAATTAGCTATTAGAGAGGTGTTAAGCAAAAAGACCTTTATAAGAGAAAATGCCTTCTTAGTGCCAGCTGAAGTGGGAAAAGCTAA